TAGATTAAAAAAATTGCCGCGGCGGGCAAATACATATATAGTAACCGTCGCAACAAACAGTATAGGTAGACACTTCCTACATTCAAATGACATTTGATTTAATCATCAATATTAATTATTAGTATTATTAAATTTGATTTCGGATAAAATTTAATATGCACCTCGGCATTAAAGTCATTTTTTATCACTCACGTGGTTATTTCCACATTCGTGATAAAAAATACGACTTTACTGCCTTGATACATAAATAACTATTTTAAAGCGCAATCTATAAGTAAAAAAAAAGTTAGAAATCTGTTTTGCCGGGTTTTAAAATGTGGGCGTCAGTTTGTCAAATTTTCGTTTCAAAATCGAAATGTCTACCTTGAATTCGAAATACAGGGTGTTTGGTAACTAGAGGCATAAAACAAAGAATAATTTTTCCCAAATCGGGCTTCGTAGGCGAGATAATTAGCATTGGTTGGTGTTTTTTCACTATATAATTCATAACTTTTACTAAATACAATTATTGTAAAATACCTTACAACAAATGTTCAAAAAGCCCACCATGTACGTTTACATCTTCTATAGAATGCACCCTGTAGAAGCAGTTTTTCAAAGTGAACGTGAGGCAACTACTAATTAAAAATAAATACATACTAAATATATTTTCTTAAATTAAAATAAAAAAGACTAAATACACTCCCTAAAATTTTGGCCATGTTTGTTATTTTATAATTTTTAATTTTTTATCCAACTAGTTTGTAGATTTATTTTTTTGTGATTGTTATATATTATTTTAATAATTTACATTTTTTGGGCAACATCATACAGGGGTAAATCAAAACACCCTGTGAGGAAATTCAGGCAGAAAATTTTGTTTACAAACTGTTTGCGGTAATCTTAGATGTAATCAAAACATTTTGTTTTTTGACTTAAAAAAATGGGTGTCTTGCTATCGGTTAAAAATAATATACGCTGGCTATGTATGCTATTGTTGTGACACGTACCAATCTTGTATTTGTTTACAATGGAGCTCTAACCGCACTGTTGAGGATATCCTTAAAGATGCGACTGAAATGTATTTTCAAGTCTGTGAAAGAATTTTAAATTGTCTTATGTTGTTTTTATTTATTGTCTTACGATGTTTTGTTGCAACTTGGTTAGGATTCATTAAAACTAAAAAACAATACAACATTAGATTCCAAACATATTTTGAAATAAAGATGTATTTTGTACTAGAACTAGACCAGAAATAGAATATCAATGAGTTGTGTCCACACAAATTATGAGCAGAGCGTGTATATTACGACATAAAGCACACCTTCACGTCAAACAAATCATTTTACCTGATGTTTGCCAACGCAGCAAAAGTTATCTATAAATTTTGCTACCTCGCGCATATGACTGGCCAACTCAGTCACAAATAAACAAACAAAATCATATAATGCATCAAGGATAAATAATATATTTCTAAATGTACTGTGGTTATTTTGTTTTATACGTATTTACATATATCTAATGAAAAAAAAATCTATAAATTATGATTTAATTTATAGTTGGCAAATGCGTTCTTTAGTTTGAAGCCATTTAGACAAAATGCGTCTGACCAGAAAATGCCATGTTCTGTACTTCCGTGCTTCGTTATCACTGATAACGAAGCACGAAGGTGATGCCACTACTTTTCTCTTATGTACTTTTTATGCACATTTTTTTATACTATTATAATATAATAATATTTTTATAGGTATTATTTGTTTTTCGGTGGCAGCTTTACAATTTGGTTTATATTTTGAGTTAGAAACGACCAATGTCGTTGCAAAAGGTTTCAAATTAATGGGCCCAACTATAAAAAAATCTGTTTTTGGACAAAAATGAGAATGTCATATTTTCATTTTCAAATGAGTAGTAAATAGTATATTATTTATCAAGTTTGATAAACGCCATTTTATAAACGAATTTAATTTAGGCACAAGCGAGCTTGCGAGCGAGTGCTTAATTATTAAAAGGATGTCTAGAAAAGTTTATTAACCAGTTGCATAATATACTTTTTCTACGACAAATATTTATTATTATCTAAAAATGATTTAAATTGAATATTTGTATAGAGCGACATCTATACAAAAATAGAGTAAACCCTAAGAATGGAAATCTGTATTACCGGCGCGCCGGTAAAAATGTCAAATTTTACTCCACTCCCCTCCACCCGAAATCAAGTTTAATCTGTCTTACTGTCGGCAAAATTAAAAGGTCAATACAATGTTCATATAAACTTTTCAAATATTGGCGTTGAGAAACTATTTAATATATTTGTATTTTTGTATTGAGATAATAAAATAATTTTTACATTTAGTAGTATTATTTACACTTTATTTTAACGATTGTATGACATTTGACAACTGTCAACTAACTTTATCTCATGTATTTTAGTGTCATGGAAACGTACGATGGGCGTTTTAAAGGTGGAGTAGAAAAAACGAGAAAAAATTAATGTTTTGTTTATTTTTGGACGTTTACCTTATTGATAGTCTGGTACATCGCTACTTAAACTGTTGCCTTCAGGAATATTGTGGGTCGCAATGTGTTTAAAACATAATAAGACGTACGTATACAAAACATCCTTTTATACGCTAAAGAAATATCGGGTTTTCGCAACGCGCGCGCCATCTGGTGGACCATTCTGTGAATTTAAGAATTGTCAACAATACATTTAAAGCACACGAACTGTACATCATTTTAAATAAAGGCAGAAGTCTTACTCGACAAATTTTGTTCAATTGCACAGCTAAATCGCGCACGTTATTTGTGTTTTACGTTGCAAGGAAAAAACTAAAAAACTGGTTTAGTATTCGATTTTGATAAATGCTTATATAGTTACGTTAGTGTGTGTATTTTATCTAAGGGATCATGGTGAATTATTGTAAATAAAATTCAAGAAATAAATCATTTTCATGTTTTGCCAAAGGATCCAATTTTTTTGCACAAACATAACCTAAAAATCAACCATTTTTATATAGTTCTCTAAAAAACGCCCACAACTCCTTTTTAAACAACAAAATATACATACGAATTCATGGCAAAATAATATTATATATGTATAATACATAATATAATGGTATTTTACCGTTGAGTGAAGACTTTAAAGAATTCTTAATCAACGCTTTTAATAATGGTAAATGATGTTTAAATTTAGACGACTTATTTGTTTGACGATTATTACTGAATTGAAATGTTTACACTTTTATTCATTACTAAAATGAGTATTTATTGTATCTAATACATACAGTAGGGTGGCCCAAAAAAAAAGAATATTTTTTTGTACTTGTCTCTTGCAAAAATATGTTAGTTTATCATGCTGTAAGAGCCGTGTCAAAATATCAGCTTGATTAAAAAAAATTTAGGGGTCGCTCAAGATTTTTTAAAATTTTCAAAATCGTCAAAAATTGAATTTTTGTTTTATTTTAATTTTTTGTCTCGTCTCGATATTATTTTTTTGGTTGAAAATAATAAAAATTCTGTAAATTTCAAATTAATATTTTGATTTCTAAAGGTCGCTAAAAGTTCGTTTATATTTATATTCAGAGGTCGCTCAAAAACATTCAAAATACTCTACTTTGAAAGTTACAAAAACATGAGCGACCTTTAGAAATCAAAATATCGATTTAAAATTTTCAGAATCATTATTATTTTTAAATTAAAAATTAATATCGGAACGAGAAAAAAAAATAAAATAAAAAAAATCCAATTTTTGACGATTTTGGAAATTTTTAAAAATCTTGAGCGACCCCTAAAAATTTTTTAATGGAGCTGATCTTTTGAGAGGGCTCTTAAAACATGACAAACCAAAATATTTTCACAAGAGACGAGAGAAAAAAAATATTCTTTTTTTTTTGAGTCACCCTAAGATACAGTTTAAATTTACAGGGACTCTATGCAATTTATTTCTTCATTCGGATTAACAATGTTTATTGGAAAACCGATAAAAACTCAACCCAGGATTTCCTCTCGAAATACACCCAAAAACGCTTTTTTTAACATTTTCCGGCTTTATTCTCAAAAACACTCGTTTGTAACACACGCGTTTGACAGCTGATTATCAAAAGTTGTACTTTTGTTACGATGATAACAGCCGAGTGGTGGCGCTACTAGCGATACTTATTTAGCGTATTACAGTAGATAGGGAGTAAGGGTAAAACCCCCCTAATTTTTTGTACGTGTCTTGTCCCAGGATTTGATGTCAAATTATTTTATTTTGGAGGTTTACACACAAAAAGGTCCTCTTGTTGAACTTTTGTAATTTTTACCATTTTCGCCTAAAATCGATTTGAAAATTACCTTACATGGCATAAAAATTCATAATTATGAAATCATAGAGAAAAAGATTCAGCTTGGGCTCAAGGCAGGTGACATTGTATGCAATGTAACAGGGAGTTTGATCAATTCTCAAAATTTCATTTTTCTTGGAGATAGATTTCTCTTTCGGGGGCTGTAGCTCCCTTAGAACCTATGTTTATAAAAAAAGTTCCTATAGGAACTTTTTTTTCAATTTTTGTACGTAGAATCTGCTTTTAAGGTATTGCACGCTAATAATGGGACACCCTGTAGATTGAATGCACATTAAAAACATGAAATAGGCAATTGAAAAGCAATTTACCCATAATAAAGAACGAATTGTTTTGATGCGGTAGAAGAGGGAATAAGGTTGTCTAGCACCCCAGAACCTGGGCCCGATAACCGATGACCGTGCTTAGATCCGTGCTGATCTGATCCGATTTTATAAAAGGGCCCTTTGCAACTCGATAAAAGCGGTTAGCCCTTCGTGACTGATTTTAAACGAACGCGTAATACCTGGGGAGATGTTCAATTTGATATTACTTAAATTACAAATTCAGATTAGCACGCCCGATGAACTTCAATACCTATTGTCGAGGATTTAACTTATTTGGTATTGTAACGTTTTGGTTCGAATGATACACGCATGCTGATTTTGAATGGATAGTGGGGCGTTTTAAATACGTATTTATAGTATATCAACAGTTTATTGAAAGTTACATTTATTTTACAAATATAATTTGATTATTTTACGGTTCGATCATTATATTAACATACAATAAATAGGTACGCATACTTACAAACATGTTTAAGACTACACAAATTAGGCTATTGTCTTTACAACCTACCTAATGATATGAACAAGAAAAAATATCCTTCAATTATACTGATCCTGTAAGGAACAAACAGATATTTTCGTTGGGCACAAAATATTGTTTTTTTAGAATGACCTTTATACATTAACAGTATTTAAAAGAGCTTCAGATTTACTTTCATTCCCAATAACATTTTTGCTTGAAAACTCGCAAATACCTGGTTCTTCGTTATCACACTTAACAAAGTCATTTTCATTAGGTATTTCAACGTGCTTTCTATTATTTCTATCTGAAATGTATTTATATTTTATAATATTTACTATGTTCCCGCATAATGCCTTATATTCCTCTTTATTAATAGATAAAACTTCTTCTTTGTTTAAAACACACTTTTGTCCTTTTAATGGTGAATCTGATAAACACACAACACCCTCAATTTCTGCAAAAGATCTTAAGTAACAAAAATCTTGATTTTCGTTCGGGGCAAATTTTTGTAGGGGCTCTGAACAAGCACCATCATCTGATATCTTACCACTACACTGATACATTTGGTTATTTTTTATTACCAACTTCATATCTAAAACAATATAGCCAATAGGCTTTAAATTAAATATAAAATTAATGATCTCACCATTAAAAAATGTAACGATGGTGGTTCCACCCACGCCATTTTTCATTCTAAATATTAAGCGAAGACCGTAAACTGGTTTTAATTCTTTCTGTAGTCTTTGTTTTATTACGTTGGCTAAATTGTGGATATCATTTTTATCTATGTCTATGGGTTCATTAGTTACAATATTAACTCCATTTTTAGAGATTATAGGTTCTGAATCGATACCATCGTTTGCAAGTTGGTTTATTTTACTATGAACATTGGCTTTTATTGTGTTTTTAAGATTGTGTAGTTCGTTCAAGGTTTCATTGGATAATTCATTACAAAAAACTAAAAATTAGCGTAAAAGTGTTTAGCATTCAAATTAAATTAAAATTACTTACTTAATGATATAATCTGGGATAAAAATATTAAACATAACTTAATCTTCATTTTGTCGTATTTTGCGGAGCACCAAATATAAACTATTTTTATGTTAACAGTTAACTTGACAAATAAAAAAGGGTCAAGTTTATATAAGTGTAACTTGAGATAAGAATTAATTTAAATTAAACAATTTGGAACAGTTTATAAAATTATGAAACATTTACAAGGGGAACATATTTTTTAAATTTATATGTTTAAAATATATACAGGGTGTCAGTTTAAGCCGTCTTATTAACATGAGGAGATTATATTATTAATTTCCTTTATTTTGGAAATGCATGGTTCTGTTGGTTTTTAGTAGGTACATTTATCAATTTTAATAATAAAAAGTTTTATGCTTAATTAAAGATTTTTACAATCAAACTGTTTGGGAAACATTATCAAACAAAAAAGCGCTCAATCCTAAAATACCCAATTTACCTACTTGATTGTTTAGTAATCATTTCTAAACATTCCTAAGCATATAGCAATAACTTATGACCAATAAGTAGTATATTTAATAAATCAGTTTTCTCGGTGGATTAAAAGTTCAAAATGATGAATTAGGTGACAGATGTCAATAATGACAGATGTCAGCTTAATTTGTTTTGTATTTTCGTTTCATATTACTCATTTTTGACATCTTCCTTAGATTATGTTTGATACCTAGGGTAAAGGCACCAGTAATTGCCACTGTACCAGTAGTTGCCATTTATTACTTAGAAATTCAAAAACAAAACCATATGCAATATCTGTGCATATGGCGCACTCCCTATGTGTAAGGAAGTGTATCTTGTGTATTATGTATTTAGAACAACTGTCACCAGGTGGCGCATTTTTCGACAGGAAAAAAATATTCAGGCAACTTGTTGAATCAGCTGTTTATAAAAGATTTCTTGTGACTTTGGTTAAGAAAGTGTAAGATTAGTTCTTCGTGATATTGACATATGTTGTAAATCAATTTGAGTTTTGTTTGTGCAATAGGCATATAGGCTAAGTAGTTTAAATGAAACGCATATAAATTGTTCGTTAAATTAAAAGAGTATTTTGATTTAGAGTAGTGGCAATTACTGGAGCATTTTTTTTCTTTTAACCCAATATTTGCTATTTGTGGTAATTACCTACTGGAGAATTTTGGATTATAGTATTATGACCTTTATTAAAGCTCTAAACTAACCTATAATATTTAGTTTATCCTTGACATTAATAAGAACATTCTATTCAAAGAGAATCCAGTAACTTCCACCTCTTTTTAAATTTGTCAATTAGTGGTTCACTTTAGTGGCAAATATTGATCCAGGTATAAAATCCAAATTGATCAACATGGAACCAAAAAAACAAGCTATTCCCAAGAAAGCAAAGAATCTGCATTGGCTGCTTGCCAAGGTGGTATGCCATTTTCCATTTTTTTGTTTTATTTAATAAAATAAATTAGTGGCAATTACTGGCCAGGAACACTGGCAACTACAGGTTTTTTTTTTAAATGGTCATGGCAATTACTAGTCCTCTGTACCTCAATAAAAAAAAATTATATTGTACTTAGTAATGTCTTTAATTTTTAATGTTTGGTAATATAGTGAACTTCTATAAGTATCTATTAACCACATGGCTTTTTATTAAGACGAAATCAAAATTTCTTCTGGTAGGTACTTTTTTAGCTATTTTGTGTAAACACTAGCTTATAATGGCAATTAATGGTGTCATTACCCCTATCACCTGTCATTTTTGATATCAGTCAACTATCATTTTTGACATGTGTCACCTGCAGTTTTTGAAAAACGACCAGTATTTAGTCACATAAAAGTTCAAAAGTTTTGTATAGCGCCTAGGGGAAGGCCAATATGAATTTTTTTTAGAGAATGGTATATAGTCGCGTCATCAATTTCCAATATCAAAAACCGGTTTGTCGACATACGTCCGACATACATGTTCTTTGCATAGTCGCCGTGGCGTATGTGGCATGCATGCCACATACGCCACGGCGACTATGCAAAGAAAACAGCAAATGGTAATGTCTGTGCTTGGTTCACAAATTGATGACGCAACGGAAAACATTCGCCGCGGCGACTACACCCACCATCTTTACAACATATAATAATAAAAAATACTTTTATTGGCAAACTGTTTTGTATATACAAAATATTATTATATAAACACTAAAGAATATGACAGGCTGTCAAAGGCAGAGTTTAGACTAAAGTACCTGATCTTCAACTCAATAAAAATTTAAAACATGTTTTACTTTAAATAATTAAATAATAACCTTTAAAGGTAAGGAGTTCTTTAAGGAATTAGGAAATAATGGTCCATTCTGCAAAAATTTTGAAAATAACAATAATTAATTTCTTAGTAATTAATCATCGTAAACCATCAAAACTTAAATTTTTTGTCATCCTATCCTATATATCATCTACAGAAAATTTAAGGAAAATCTAAGGGAGTGGTGAACTGCACTTGATCTTACGAAGACGATATTTTTTAAATCTTTAAACTAGTGCTGATCATGATCATGCATGCATTTGTCAACCATGAATTTTGTATTATTTTTAAATAATATTAAAATATCATGATTCAATAAGTTTTCTATTATTTCCATTATGAAAATGATACATGTGCATAAGCTTATTACTTATCAGCCCACCTTTGAGATACCATACTATACACAACTGAATACCTAGGAGTAGATAAAAAAGGAAATAGTCAGCATTTTGTCTTATAAACACACGATTAAGTGTACCTGTCCGATTACACCTTTTCCTGCTGAATAACGTAGGTGTGCACGTTTCGCTTATAATGCCAGAACTGTGTCGTGAGAATATTCATTCCACCTTTGATAAATATTTTGCTGTTATGACTGCGGCTTATAAAAATAAACCGAATTTATATTTTTTTAAATCTACCTGTCGACAGTTTTAAACAAGGTTACTGTTTATGATGTGGCTCTCCTGCTGTTTTAGTTTACGAGCCCGATGAAATTTCGAATATATTGTTGTGTAATTTATTTCTAATGTTTAATTTAATGACAGGTTATTTTGTAAATTGTAATTTATTAATACCCATTTGATTTTTAGATTAAAAAGAGGATCATTGATCCCTTCAAAAACCTTTCTTTTATTATCCTTTCGTTTGGGTAAAAAAACCTTTGAAAAGTCATGGTCTAGTTTCTGTTACACAAGATTGGATAAATTTTGTGTGCCTGTGTATTTAATATTGATATAATTTATTATTATTTAGAATAAAATTTCTTACGATGTTTGAAAAGGTAATTATTAGATATTATATAATACCATATGGTTTGGCCGATTATTTAATAGGTACCTACAGGGTGATCCTCTATAATGTCGCCCCTTTATCTTTTTATTTTAAATGTCCCAAAAAATATCAAAGTGTGGTTATGTAAAAAATAAACCGAAATAAACTTTTTGTTTTTCCCTGTATACTGATCAATTTTCAAATTTTTTTTCGTAGAAAAAAGTATTTATCTAGATCATTTTCCCGACAGACCAATTTCCCGACATACCATTTTCCCGACACACCATTTTCCCGACAAGATTTTTCCCGACACCATTTTTCCGAAAGTCATTTTCCCGAAAGTCGTTTTCCCGACAAGCCATTTTCCTGACAAGCCATTTTCCCGACAAGTCATTTTTAAGACAAATCATTTTTACCACAAACGACACAATATATTTTAACAGAGTGACGTCATCCAATTACGCAATCTTAGGACGAGAAGCAGATCTTTTTTCCTTAACCAACGTCCCGAGTCCGCCCGCTTCGAAACCAACTCAAACCCAACAACCCAACCCAACCGACCCCGCCCCATTGGCCCTTACAGAATTCCAGAAGGAACAAGCGGATACCGAAATCATTTTTGACCAGGTATGTTTTTCTTTACTAGATAATAACTTTGTCGTGAACATAATCTTTCGGGAAAAGGGCTATCGGGAAACACGTTTCTTAACTGGATAATAAGATTTTTGTCGTGAACATAGTCTGTCGGGAAGAGTGTTGTCGGGAAAAACGTCGTCGGGAAATTGGTCAGTCGGGAAATTGCATTCGGGAAAGTGACCGGGAACGATTTATCTACTCCTATTGTATATTGTGTATATACCTAATATTGTTTTTTTTTCGTGAATAATGATAAACATTATAAATTCCCTGCCTAACAACGGGAATAATGAACTCATTATCCACGTTGTTAGGCATCAGTAATTAGCCGATTTCAATATTCACTGTGATTTTACCCAATCGGGTTTTAAATTGGGAGAAGGCAACTATAATAACATAACAAAATTGGTAAAATTGTCAGATATCAGATTTTATTTAATTAGTTTTGAAAATCATTTAATTATCTACTTATTGCAGTAGATAAATTAAAGTAGGTATTACACTCGATATACTATTAATATACTATTTTTAGTACCTATATAACTAGAGATGGGATATTTAGAGATGTAAAAAAACGGTTTTTTTTCAGATGTGAAAAAAAACATGAAAAAAAACCCAGAAAAAAAACGGTTTTTTTTGTTTTTTTTCAAAATGAAATTTTGGGTAAAATATATATTAATAATAAAGTGAAATGTAGAATATATTAAACTTTTCATTATTGAAAATTTTGACCGGGACTAAAAAATATGATTTCTTATTTGGTAGTTTCCACATTAGAAACCAGTAGCAATGTAAAACTTCTACACGAATACAAAAAATTAAAGGATAAAAAAAATTGTTTTGCGATTCTTCGGATAGCTGTATCTTTGTTAAAAATGGTCGTATTGGAGCCGTAAAAAAGCAATTTGAAGCTTGAACTTTCTAGTTTTGAGATTTTTAGATGAAAAATGTGCAACGCTCAATCCTAACAAAACCGTAATAAAAAAAATCGATTTTTTTGGCTTTCTGGTCCACGGAATGCTCTGACTTAACCACCAATGAATAAATGACCTACAAAAATTTGCTATAGTTTTGAAAAAAAAATTCCATATTCTACATGAGTTTAAAAAATCATGAAAAAAGTGCTTTTGGTAGCTTTTTGAAA